AAAATCTCACAAAAAAACAAATATAAACCATGTGTAGAAGTTGTTGACTACAGTAATTCCAAAGAATGGTCTGTGTTTGTGTTTTTCTTGGGTCTTAGAAAGAAAAACCAATAAAGAGAAAGAAAATAAGAATGGAGATAAAAACCTTTAACAACAGAACTGTTCCACTGAAGATTTTCAGTTTGTCTTCTTTGATTTGACTTTTTTATAATGGAAAATAAACTGAAACAGTTTCATATAAATGTATTTTCTTTAGAGAATTTCTAACAATGGTTTGTTTTCTCACATTTATCTTATTGTTGGTGTTTGGTATTTGTATTTTAAGATTTTTGTGCCTTGGTCAAAACAGTAAAAATAAAAAAGCCTTGTCTAAAGACCTACAGTACATAACTTGTGTGTTAATGAGTCATGTTGTGTATGTGTGAGTGAAAGGAATGAGTCRTGTTGTGTATGTGTGAGTGAAAGGAATGAGTCGTGTTGTGTATGTGTGAGTGAAAGGAATGAGTCRTGTTGTGTATGTGTGAGTGAAAGGAATGAGTCRTGTTGTGTATGTGTGAGTGAAAGGAATGAGTCGTGTTGTGTATGTGTGAGTGAAAGGAATGAGTCATGTTGTGTATGTGTGAGTGAAAGGAATGAGTCGTGTTGTGTATGTGTGAGTGAAAGGAATGAGTCGTGTTGTGTATGTGTGAGTGAAAGGTCAAACAGTTACAGTACTGCAGTGTAAACTGGAGTCCAGTCTACATTAACAGGTCTCACTCTGCTCAGGTGTGTGTGTCCTTCACTTTGTAAGTGTGATTTTACACACACTGTCAGCACTGGCTTCAGCCGCTGTGATAAACAAGCTGATGTAGTTTTATCATCCGGTAGTTTGACCCAGTTGGTCCAGAACCTCCCAGTATATCTACAGTTCTTATATCTCTCCWTCAGTGTCAAGCTGTTTGTCTTCTTCTTCTCTCTTCAGGAAGAGTTTGGAAGTTCTGCCTCGGCTCAGACAGTCCACAGGCAGAGGTCTGCTGACGTCCAAATCACCTGTTCTTATACTGCCTACTGTACTTATACTACCATACTTATACTGCCTACTGTACTTATACTGCCTACTATAATTATACTGCCTACTGTACTTATACTACTATACTTATACTCCCTACTGTACTTATACTGCATACTATACTTATACTGCCTACTGTACTTATACTGCATACTATACTTATACTGCCTACTGTACTTATACTACCATACTTATACTCCCTACTGTACTTATACTGCATACTATACTTATACTGCCTACTGTACTTATACTTCCTACTGTACTTATACTGCATACTATAC